AGCAAAAATGAAACCCATTTTTGAGGTCTCGGTTATTGGTTTCTCGGGTATTGGTTCATTTGAGAAGTAAAATATGGAGCGAAGGGAACTGACATGAAGCGGCTGCGGTGCTGCATGGATATATGAGTACATACGTGCAGCCTACATCTACCGTAGAAATTATTGGCAAGATGCCTACGGGAATACTCCGTCCGAAATCACTTTTTGAGCCTTTAAAAAGTAGGGCTTCGCTTCGCAGGTTTTTGACTATTTCACTTCGTTTTTTCGCCATTCACCCCACTACATGGCACCCTGCTAGCATTTTGGACCGAGTACAAATTATTGTGCAAAAGGCTTTCAAGTAAAAAGCTAGGTATAAAGGGAAAAGTCCGGTATTGGTCTATGCCGTGTTGGGGAGAATAAGTTTGCAGCTGCAGTGACCTGTCACTCTCTCCGGTCACGGGAACGGGGATGCGGGGAGTGATACCTTAGTGTCAACCCGGTACTCCGCCTCGCGTTCGACAGTGGCCGGACACCTGGATGCCACGCGGCCATCCAGTAGCTGGCCATTGTCGAACGCGTCTGCTCCTCCACACTACTTCATGTGTTGTACGCTGCTACTTAGAGGATTCTGCGTTCAGAGTGAAGTTTATCGTGTGCTGGTGCAATGAATGTTAACTCGTCTGACATGCTGCGACGTCTAATACAGTCTTGTTGGCTGCGGATGATGAGGCATGTCGAATGAGGTTGGGTTTGGCGAGCCGTCATCCCGTTCTTCACCAGTTGTTGAAGCGGATAAGCGACAACAGTTGGTGGAAAAAGACTGATACGAATCATATGATACAGTCTTTTGGCCTGTCGAACCTCGTAGCACGTCTGATCTTCCATGCCAAACAAGAGTGCAATCGCCTTGCCAGGTGAATCACCTAACTTCTGCTCCCAGGCATGGTTCATTAAGTGTTTCAAATATGTTAGTTTTCCACCGTGTGAAACTGGTTCTTACTTACGCTGAGAGCTCACTTTTTCAACAGGATGGTGGCATGTGGTTATCAATGAGGACGACACAGTAGCAGTCACACAGAACTTTTGCTCACCTGCCAATTTCATGTACGTGTATCCTACAGTGCTGAAGCAGAAGCCATGTATCGCTCAATTATTTCACGAAAGGTATAGTTATGTGTTACAATCGTGTATGACATAATCCAACTCATTTTTGACGGTTAGGTGTAATCCTCGGATTTACTTGTACTCAGTCTCAGATGGTGTCCTGATCAGCTTGTTTAATCGTGAAACTTCGGAATCTCAGGGAACTAGTCAGGGGTTTTGGGTGTTATTGAAGCCCGTGAATGGGACGGACTTAGGAGAAGAGGGTGTTGAGGTCCAGAAAAAAATCACTCTCATGCACTTTCTGAAGATAAATCTCTCTCAGTCGCTGTGGGCAGTGGTACTGATGGTGGGACATTCAGGAGGGATGGGTTTGGCACGACGACAAACCCGTTTTCCACTAGCTGTTGAAACGAGGAAGCGACAAGATCATATCATATCGCTTCCCCAACGAAGATTCAAGCGATATGATGCGCTGTGGCTTACTTCTTTAACTGAGAACGAGCTAGTGGCCGAATCCGTTTCGAACCCGTCATCAGCAGCAGACAGGACCGTAATTTTTTTTCAGGTTGATTCACCAATACCCTGATTTTCTTGACAAAGTCAATGAAGTTATGTTGGATCCAAAACCGATCATTGATGGGTACGATACCTCTGACGAAAGTGTTAGTGAAGAACCCGATGAAGAAGAAAGTGACTCTGGCATCACTATGGACAGTACAGACTTTTCCTGTGATGAAAGGTAAACTTGCGTGTGGTCACTCTCATTCACAAGTATAATTGACTTTCTGTGCAGGGAATTGAGAGATATCCCAGTAAAAAGGCTTCCCTCGCTACAGGGAAATGTAGTGGTTCATTAGGACACAGAACAATCTTACTATTATCAAAACTGATCACCAAAAAATCTTCAAAAGCTAAGAAAAGGGGCATTGTTTCAGAAGAGCTTGCGTCATTCATAAACCCCTTTTGTTGAGCAACACGCATTCCATTTCCTTCCAAAACAGTGGTTGCTTCCCAGTGCAATATGGTCTATGCAAGAATGGGACCAACCGATGGGCAGATCACTGCTTTTTAATCCCCAGCAACTTCATATTTACTCTACTTCCTGTGTCCAAAGAGACTCTCGGTCGGTCTGGTTGGAAGCTGATTTGGGATTCGGTCGCCTGGATGGAAGGTGACCTGAGATTTGACCTTCGGACCTATCAGAAATAATATACCATTTCTGAAACATTCGTGCAATAATAATCCTGTAATTTGGAAAGGGTATGCTAGCACTCGCTGTAAAATTCAAGCACCTTGTCGAATATTCGCATAAGGGTTTCTTTGGCAAAAAAACTCCTTGAATTTAGTGAGCACGGTGAAGTCGAAGTATTCGAAGATGAGGATTATGGGTGCGAGACGGCCGATGAAATAGGGGAGTTCGAAAAGACTGAGGAAGTTGCAGTGAATGCAACAGGAGGCGAAGTGGAGTCCATCACGTCAACAGATCTAGAGGAAACTGAGGGTGACATTCTTTCAAGTGATACTGATGATGAAGCAGAAGAGTCCTCAGAAGATGACGACGATTCTAATGAAGAAAATGAGGAAGGTGATGAATTTGAAGAAGTAGAAGAAGATGAGGATGTAATTCAAACGATGCCAATGAGGTTTGTTATACTGCTACCACCTCCGTATTAGTCTATGAATCCGAACTACTTTCTTCGATCCAGCTTCACGATATGAAACAAAACTACTAGCCTTTTCAGTGGTCTCAATGGAGTAAAGCGCCGTGCCCCAGAAGAAGCTCAGGAAGATGATTTCTAGATGCCACAAACTTCTTATCCTTCTTCCTTTCTCCCCAACTACTTTTCTTTGTGTTTCCGAGCTCATCTACTTTAATTGTTTTTCAACTACGATCGACATTTATATCGATTTCCACGATAGCATCAGCGTTTCCTTGTTTTGATGTCTATGTAATAAAGTTTAAGAAGACAACAGCTCACAGACAAATGAACTATCGCCGAGGGGCATTTTGACTCCATACAGCGGACGGCAACACTGGTGAGCTTTTATTGTTTTATGAGCTCCTTGACAAGAAAAGAAAACCGATGAGGCTCCGGGACAGCACAATTTTAAGAAAAAAAAACGCTTGCCTACAAATTTTGCCGCCGAGGGTCTGCGCAAGGTGTGCTACCACCGTTTTGGCGAATCTCGCCGTTTGAAAGGAAAGTGGTTCCTTCTAAAGGGTAGAAAGGAAATGGTTCACTAAATGATACAGCTAATGAATGAAATGCCTAGAAGCCAATATAAACGCGTCTCTAGATTGCACGAGCCGCATAGAGGCGTTTCTAGGCTGATTACGCCAAAGCGGGAACCTCAGATCAACAGCGACGTCTTCTTGGCTTGTTTGTAGCTGTAACTGAGGTGGGAGCAACATGTGAGATGAACAAAATCATCTTCCATCAGGACAAGGCGCCTTCATATCACTAACGGCATGTCATCGAATCCTTTTCTTATGGAGACTGGAAACTAGCTCTTCTTTCCGCTATTTCACGTCAACCATTAGTTTGAAAACTGGCATAGAAATGACGTCGGTTATCTGAACATGCTTTACTCGCGAACTCTAAATGCGCTCCACATCCTGGAGACAGGGAAGCCATGACTGCGCCCTTACCGGGCGATACCTTTTTTGTGAGCCGTTTCCATTCGAAGCATTGCCAGTGGCAACTGTCCTACTTGCGCTGAATAAAGGCACTATTCTAATTGTTCCAAAATGACCAAAAAAGTGTAGCCTCCTCCAAATTCATGATAATGCCGCGCCCTCCCCACCTCTGGGATATGTACTGCACAAGCAGCCCTGCAAACGCTAGGGTGTGTGAAGGGATGTGGGCAGGAGCACTACTAAGGCGGCCTTTTCCAGCAATGATGATATTTGGAGTTCGCAACCATAGGCTGGAGGGGCTGATCTGGTTGCAATCCAATCACGCCCCGTCACACCCCCTATTGTTTGCAAGGATCATGACAGCAAGTTCTTTGGATCCGCCATTTTTTTCACAGTAGTAGGGAATTTACTGAGAAACGCTTACACAGTATTATGGGTGCAGTAAGAATTTTAAAATAATCAAAGATTTATGTACAAATCAATCGGTACGTAATGAGTTCGCCAAAACCAAGCTCTCTCGAAGGTGTGAACTTTCCCGTTGTTCCCGCGGTAGTGTTTGCACAGAACTCCGTCGATAGGAACGTAACGTGCGTAAAGAACCGCGAACGTCTGCAGAATTGCTTCTCGTATAGACACTTAATCGTTGACCCAAACTGCTCTGCGACAACTGAAAAACAGAGATCTTGTGAGAATATGAAGTTGAAATAAATGGCTTGACCGCTGTGACGTTCAACTGGTGATTCTCTATGTATGCGAAGAGGAAGGATTGAGACATTGAAAGAGCACTACTGGTTACAGGACTGAGAATCATTACTCCCTCTTCAAAAGCAGCTGGCATCAGGGCACACGGGTGAGCGCATGAAACGAGGAGTCACGCACATATAGGGCAGGGCGTGCTATGGGTAGGCGGTGCTTTCAACAAAGGTTTCAAAAATTCGTAATTCGCTTCGAAAAGGGCCCAGAGAGCGAAAAATATGGAACATGATAGGAAATGCGTAGGCGCATGAAAGAAGGAGTCACGGTCATATTGGTACTGCAAATGAACGGCGAGAGCGAATGAACCGGTGGACGAGAGGAGGCACACCAGCTATGAACGGGGCTCGAATCAAAATTCCGTGAGTAAGCCTGGAGAGCGGAAGTGGGCAACGAGAGGAAATGGCTTGGCGTAAGCACATGTGAGTGAAGAGAATGTGGCTTTAACCAAAGTGCTACTTTCTCTACAAATGGGTAAATGAGTACCTCTTCTTCTTACACCCGGCTTCGTTCTGATAATCTAAAACGTTTTGCGTGCCTACGCTGAATAACTGGAAGCAGCCGAACAGCAGGAGGATATTGCTCTATGGCTTCAACTTTCAAACACCTCAACAATCTGGAAGATCGCTTGTATATGGAAAAGTTAGACAGCTGCCTGTTAGGGGAGAAGACCCACTTTACACGCAGAAGGAGGATCGACCGGCGAGCCTGCCGATTCAACTGGCCCTCTATTTTTTGTGTGGGGGGAATACTCGCTTTACATGGCGTGGGTTCATAGCCCGGCTGGGGTTCGACTCCTATACTTCAGTATTCTATAAGAATGTTTGGGCACAGATTGCGGCTCTTAACAACAGCTGTCGTAATAATAACTCCAGATTATCATAGGGTTTTTCACTTCCGAGCAAGCCATGCATCATTTAGAAAGAAACTAGACCCGAATTACCTCCGCTGTGTTCAAAAGAGAAATGTCCACCTCTCTGATTGCACTTTTGAGTTCATTTAGACTGAACTCTGCAACTACCCAGTAAAAAAAGTGTCTGCTCAGGGTCATATAATTCAGCCAACTGTATGCAAATCCTAGGGATGAGCATTAATTCCACGCACGTACCCGTGGAAACTTTCGAAACAGCATAATGAAGCATTTTCGGCGAAAATGTTCCGACGAAAGGCAAAACAGAATGAAGTTGATCGTTTTCCCCGTGACGACAAGGCTGTTGGTGATGCTGAAGAGAATCAATGTACTTCTCCTATACGGTACATTAGGAAGTTCGAAAAAGATGGAAAAAATATTTCGCTGCTCCGAAAGAGAGAAATGAGTTTTTTTCCAAAAAGAAGTCCAAGAAAGTAAATGAGCACATGAAAGAACCTGAATATGGCATAAAACGTAGCGCCAAGATGAGCATAACCAGCGAATAATTCCCAAATCACCATCACAGCTGATGGCCCCTGAGTGAGCGAGAAACACAACCCGATTGCTATGACCGTCACAGTGACACGACGTCGTTGACGCTGAAATGATCCACCACTATACAGTAGGATATCACGATTTTGCAGCGTTAACTCACATGTTGATTTTTTGTAAATGAGCCGTGAAAAGTTTCCAGAATTGACTTGTCATTAAAACGAAGTTCTCGCATCATAAGCATGTTAAGAAGAATAACCAGAAGTATCGGCGCAAAAACCACCTAAAGTGGGGTCTGTCTAGTCGATGAAGACCAACACATTCACTTTGATAATCAGTACATGCAGATCGTTGTCAGAGCCTTCATTCCAGCTTTAACTTGCCCAGCAGGGAATTCGTTTCAAAAATGGGTAAGGGGACGAATTAAAGCCGAATATTTACCGCAACACCCTTAGGTGCTTGTTTTAGATTAAAGACACACTGTATACCCAGCTATAGGGGCGGTCTTTTCCATGAGTGGTTCCACAGCTCCATTACGGCACCATTTTCTCCGCTCTATGACGCACCTGAACTGGACAGGACGTAGCGATACTCGGTGCCGTCTCCATACTCCGCCCGCGCTATCCTCAAGGTGCAGATTTTGTGTCGATACCAAGTCCGCTGCCAAACAAACGCTCACCCGGAGAGAACAGCTAGAAGTGAAAGGGTTCAGACGCGTTTGGCTATGGTCAGCGTGTTGCTGGCCGTGCGCTAGCACGGGCGGAGCATGGAATCGGCACCCGAATATCACTAAACTCCAGTCTCGTTCCGTGCACTTATGAACGAAAGAGGCACGCTACTGCAGCTGCGGACCCATACAGCTGCACAAATTCATTCAGCATGTATGAAAGTCTCACAGGCCTTATTTCC